CCTATTTTTGGCATTGGTGACTTTGGCCTTTACCCACAGGACCCCCAACTAAACCAAAAGTAAGAGGACCTCCCTTGGCATGTTTGTATTAAACATGAAATACATAATCTTAACAATAAAGGCTTAATGAGCAAAAATGTTATAAAAAATTCACACCAGTGACCTTGACACTAGAGACCCCTTACTTCATAAAAAATACACGACCATAAATGGTATCCACCTACCAGATACGGAATATATCATTAAATAAATTTTTAAGATAAATCCAACTTACCGGAATAGGTTAACCATACAAGGTCATATTTTCAAAGTGAAAAAAAGGAATATAACTAGGGAAAATGGATGGCAATATCATGAACTTTTTCAAAATAAGTAAGTGTGGAAATAATAAAGCCATAAGTATAGACAGTACTTAAATAAATCCAACTTGCCGGTTTAGGTTAACGATATACATTCTCAAACTGCTGAAAATGAAAATAACTTGATTAGAATTTATGCAATAATTATGTTACTTGCCATGATCAAGTTTATTGTATTGATTAATAAATGTTTAAATTATGAAGCCCTTTGTACTAGTAGATTTTGGGAAAAATCCAACTTGCCGTTTTATTATTTTGATCGTTCCATTTTTTAAAACATGACAACAATTTTAGGCTGCCAGGCTCCCAGACTGCCAGCTTTAGGCTATTAGACAACAAAGTTAAGTGTCCTAGTGGCCTAAAGGTAAAGGCTTTTTCCATAAGCATGCATGTGTATTTGCTTTTGCATGACTTTCATAGTGATTTTACTGTATTTTAAATTGTTTCCATATTTATAATATAAGTCACTAACTTAAAGCTACTAGGCTGCCGACTCTAAGCTGTTAAATTGCCAACTTCAGGTTGCAAAGCTGACATCGATAGGCTGTTAGGATGTTAGGCGGCCTCCTCAGGATACTAGGCTACCAACGTAAAGCTTACAGGGCGATAGGCAAACTCTTAAGGTCCAGGTCGTCAGCAATTAAGGCTTCCTCTTCCGACAGCGAGACAATTCGCCTCCTCAGTCAACTAGGCCATCAGACTGCCACCTCAGGCAGCCTGTCTCTTCTGCCATTTTACAGACACAATTGTACTAAACTTTTTACAGAACAATGCCAATTTTGCAGTTTCATACAAATAGTAGACACTTGTATAATTATCAATATGTACTTGCATAAGATCAGCTAAAAATCGAACGCAAAACAATATACATTTATTTACAAGATGAGTTTTATCGCCGCCTTAATTGTAGCGCAGTTCCATATATAATAAATTCACTCGCTTTCAAATTGAGTAGGCAGATTTAATTAATATGATACAACAATAAAACTTAAGTTCAACATAAAATTACATCTTGCGACATTTAACGGTAGTGTTGCGACATTTAACGGTAAGGGAAATTCGTGCGACATTTAACGTTAACATTGCGACATTTAACGTCAAATGGTTTTGCGACATTTAGCGGCGGTTGCGACATTTAGCGTCAATGGTACGACATTTAGAGGCAAGTGCGACATTTAGCGGCGTTGCGACATATAACGGCGCCACAGACATAAATCGCAAAATTATTCATTTCCAAAATGTTAACATACGAGTATGTCAGTGCGGTTTTGGGACTACTTTCTGAGCCAACTATACTAAAGCGAATGGAATAGATTATATTTTTCTTATAAGTTTCGTTTTCATCGTTACATAGATATGTTTGTTACGCGTTTTGTTAAAGTCTAATAGATTCTAGTACATTTGTTACGTTTTGTCATTGTAGTCTCGTTTGCATTGTAACATGCCGTTTGTGAAGTTTTCTTGTTGTTTTCTTGTTATTATCGTAACATAGTTACGTTTGTAACATCTTCTTCCCGTAGTTTCATTTTCAATGTTACATATATACGTTCGTGACGTTTTCTTATTGTAGCCTCGTTTTTATTGTAATTGAAACATGCTCACGTTTTTGACGTTTTGATATTGTAGCCTCGTTTTAAAACTGACATGGTTACGTTTGTGACGTTTTCTTATTGTTGCCTCGTTTTCGTCGTTACACGGTTGCGTTTGGGACGTTTTTTTCTTTAGCCTCATTTTCACTGGTTCATAGATACGTTTGTGACGTTTTCTAACTGTCGCCTCGTTTTCAGCTCTAAGTTTGCGTAGCATCGCTTTCATCGAAACAGGGTTTGTTTAAGTCACGTTTTCATCAGAAAACGAATGCGTTTGTGAATGGTAATATTATGTTCACATTTACATGTATTAAGTTGTTGTCTTATTATCACCCTTTGATGATTTATCTAACGACAAATTGGATGTATAATTCAATCGATATTTGAATTATTCTTAATTTGTCGCACACAAGAAAAAATGAACATTCGGTTCATGCTTATTGAATTATCATTATTAATATACATCTAGATATCTAATACATACGATTTTATGTCTGGTTGCTTTTAACATATTATGACATAATTCATGGAGGATATTCAAGTGTTTTCTATAAATACAGGATTTATTTTCATCTAGTGGCAAAACAATAATTATTTTATGAGTGGCGGTAGCCATAAATGAAAAATGATAATTTCCATACCACAAGATGATAATAAATCCTGTATTTATAGAAAAAAAACTTGAATTGTCTGTTTATCATATAGATTTCTCTTTTCTTTTTTTTGACATTACAATTTGAAAGAATTCTCCTTAAATTATGTGTATTGTCTGAATTTAGGAGAAAGTAGTCCGGCAAGACAGCAGTGAAAATACGGAAAATATATTTCACTACAGTGAAAAATAGCTTTTTACAGTGAAAATACTAAAATTGAAAATACGCATTTTATTTCATCAGTATTTCTCAATATTTCACTTATAAGTATATGATAAAACAATTTCTTTTTGGCTTGATTTTTAGTTTCTCTATTTTTTTCATGGGTCAGCCTATAACCTCTATATGTAAACGGATAAAAGAATACCTCTATTTATTTATTTTTATTCATTTTTGTATTTATTTATTTATCTAATTGTTGTTGTTGTTGTTTTCTAGTGGGGGAGTAAGCAGTTGACAGTATGCAATTGACAGTAAGCAGTTGACAGTAAGCAGTAGGCAGTTAACAGTAGGCAGTAGTTAGTCAGAAGTAGACAGTAAGCAGTCAACAGTTGGCTGTCGTTTATGGAAATCCATGTTATAGTCCATGCATTTATTAATTTATCAGTGAATTCCTTTAAATGTTGTTCTAAGAATATATTTGTACCTGTAAACTATTTAAGTAAATTAGGAGGCAGAAAAATACCAAGGGTCCAACCGGGTTTTGAACCACAGACCTCTTGGTCCGTAGACGGACACCTCAACCACGTCGTTAAAGGGTTAATCTAACAGCAAGGCTGATGGAAGTGGCCTATATACCTACAACCACTACACTCCTCCCCTCTTTACTTTTCAGAGCTAGCCAGCTCTCCTGAATGTCACTCCCTGCTTACCGAATGAGTCCGTCAAACACTTCTGACACCATTTAAGTAAATTAGGAGGCAGAAAAATACCAAGGGTCCAACCGGGTTTTGAACAACAGACCTCTTGGTCCGTAGGCGGACACCTCAACCACATCGCTAAAGGGTTTACTCAACAGCAAGGCTGTTGGAAGTGGCCTATATACCACTGCACTATGTTGTGCATGACCTCCAGAACGGCAACTACTTCGGCAACTGAATAATTTTTTGACCAATACAGTTGTAATAGGTCGTCCATTTTTATTTTAATGCTATAGGCAGTGAATAATAAGTAGTAAGCCGTAAGCAGTTGACAGTAAGCAGTAGGCAGTCAACATTTGGCAATTCCATAGTATATTGATTCATTAATGTTCCCAAAGAAATATTGAGATAAATATAAAAAGTTATGAAAGTATAACAATTCTGTCATAAACCTAAATCAATACACCGCATAGTTACGAATATCGATCAACAGATTAATTGGGTATTATTTAATACTTACATGTAGTAAAGCCTATCTAGTCAGATTATGAACAGGTATAATATAAAATATATATTAAGATATAGTTCCCCCTTAGCATTAACAAGCGGTTTGCTCAGTTATGTCAAATAATATATTAACAAATATACATGTATATCCAAATGTTTTTGTTGATACATTTTGTGAGAAAGACATCCTCAATGAGAAAGTTTGATCTCACACCTGGTCCGTGGTTGAGAACCAAATCCATCCCTTTTATCAAAAACAGTTTCTATGGCCATATAAGGTTTTTGCCATAGACCGCGAAATACAACTTTTGTTTGGTTACTAGGATATGTTTTCATGTGTAAATGGTATAAACTTTAAATGTTTTAACACTAACTTTTTGTTTCAGTTCCATCTGTTACTTTCCTACCAAGTGCGACATTTAGCGTCAAGGGGTTGCGACATTTAGCGGCAATCAATTTTTGTGCGACATATAGCGGCAACGTTGCGACATTTAGCGGAATGCGATTGCGACATATAGCGTTGATTGCGACATATAGCGTCAGCGTTGCGACATTTAGCGTTAGTTGCGACATATAGCGGCGTTGCGACATATAGCGTTGCTACAACGTCGCTTAAACAATGGATAATGTGACGTTTATACAATAAACATTATAATACTGCAGGTTTGTAACATCGCTTTTCATTGGATAATCGTGACGTTTATATTATTAAAAAGTACTTCATAACTTCACAGCAGCCGTGTACAAAGTTGATTATCCAATGAAAAGCATCGTTACAAACGTACATAACTATAACTAATAATACATACGACTGCTGCGAATTTATGAATATATCAAAGAAAGCAATATCGAAATATTTTAAATTCGATATAGACAATTTTAATAAGTAATGTGACTGTGAACGGAACAGTGGTGGGTTATATAACTGGAGTCGCCGGGTCATATAATATATCTTTATCACGATTGTCATTAATAAGACATATCGTATATGACGCATTTATATATAACGTTGCTGTTTCTTTTACTTCACAGATATATAGACATTCCTCTAGTAAAAAATACAAAGTTGTGAATTTACAAACTAAGTAAGTATATATAGGTAAACCTTTTTTGTCTTACATTACGTCATGACTTTATGCATTCCTATTGATAAGAAACAACAATAAACAATTTCCTATCTGTTTCATGCAGATAAAATCTGTGATAACTTGATAAACTCCCGTATGAATTTGATTTATTTATCGATTTTATTATCATCGATGTAATTATCAATTTTTTATAAATTATCTCCCGCTTTAGAGATATCAAAGCTGCATGTCTCAAGCTTAGCCAAAATTTTTCAAGAAAATCAAACTTTAGAAAAATTTACTCAAGAAAACTTTAGAAAATTTACTCAAGAAAGATTAAAGAAAAGTGAAAAGTGTAAAGATTGAAATAATGATTTACATGCTATGTGATATTAATGTCCGGTTTTTGCAGTATTTTATCGCCATATATCTACTGCGGGACTAACGCAGAAGGGGTTATTTTCGTATATTTTGATCTTTATTTGGAAATTTACTTGGATTTTAAGTATCGTTTGTAATGCATTAATCACTTGCTTTTTTTCACTCTAATAAAAACAAAACAAAAACTCTTCATCTCTATTTTTATGGAAAAAATGTTGTTGAGATCTTTTTTTTCTCTACAGAATGCCGCTTTGCGGAATTTTTTACTGTATTGTGTGACTTAATATAGATCGTGTTCATTAAAGCAATAGCAATATAAATGTACCAAAAATATAAAACTTTTACAACTTATATTATCTAAGATAGACTGTGCAAGAAAATGTTCTACAAAGCTGAAGTATAATGCTAAGGGCATCATCACAACTATAAATTATTGTTTTTCTTTATTATATGAGTTCTTAAAAATTTGAGAATTTGCTCTTATTATTATAATTATGACTTTTTTCTGCTGAATAGAGATGCTACAAATTTACAAGGACCAAGAGGCCAGACATTCCAGTATGTATCCTGGTCACCAACCGTGGACGGTGTGGTAGGTGCTTTTGTACATTTTGCTATCATTTTAACGAAAAAAAAATAATTTTACAATGTTTATCAAATATTGAACGTATAAAAAGGATTTAAAGAAACGAGATAACTAGTATTTCATTTATATGAAAATTTGTTCGGAAGTAGAACTTTATGATCTACTCAAAAATTTTATATAATTATACTTTTTATAGAGCATGTACATTCTTTTTGATAGAGGTTTTACTCCCTTTACATGGGAAGGGAATATATAGACGCTCGGATATCTATCTGTTAATATACATATACTCATAAATGAAAGAATTAGACATATTGATGAAATGAAATCCAAATTTTCATTTTCCCGTATTTACACTGTAAACAAATATTTTTCAATGTACAGTGAAATGCATTTTTCTATGATTTCTTGCAGGACTACTTTCTTCTTAATTCAGCTAATACACAAAATTAAAGGGGAAATATTTCAAATCGTTAAGTCATGAAAATGGAGAAAAAAGTATATTATTAACAGAAAAGGTTTTTTTTACCTTCATCGCGTGTTGTGATGATCTTTTTAATATGTAATATAATATAATAATATAATATTTTACTGGTGGCTCCCGCTACCCGTGAAATATTGATATCTATACCACACGATGGAAATAAATCGGCATTTAGAGAAAAAAAAACTTGTATGTGCTCTATATATACCCCTTTCCCATGATGAGAACAGACAAATACTTCTAAAATACCTCTGTATTTGCTAGCCTATGTATCAAACTTGTATGTAAAGATAAATTTTTAATAGCTATTATTTCACAGGTGCACTGTGTAAGATAAAATTCTGGAAATTTTTGTTTATTTTACTATTATATCGTTTGTACTTTATCTCTTCTACAAGGATTCTTTCTAAACTAAACAACAGAAATATATATGAGCTGCGTCACGACAAAACCAACATAGTGGGTTTGCGACCAGCATGGATCCAGACCAGCCTGCGCATCCGCGCAGTCTGATCAGGATCCATGCTGTTCGTTATCAGTTTCACTACTTGTAAGTTGTAATAGAGTTGGTAAGCGAACAGCATGGATCCTGATCAGACTGCGCGGATGCGGAACTGGTGTTCATGTCCGTCTATTACTTACGATATACTGCCGGGATGAAAGTGTGTTACTCTGGCACGGCATTTGATATACAAATGTAGTTGCTCGTATACCGCAGCTACTGTTGCTATAATACCGTGACTATAGTACAGTCACCATGGTGTAATTACTATGATACGGTTACCATGGTACAGTTGCTATGATATAGTTGCTATGTTTCAGGTGTTTGTTCAGGATAATGACGTATATTATAGACGTAATATATATGGCGAAGAAGGTGAATTCCGTGTAACAACCACTGGTAAACCAGATGAAATTTTTAATGGTGTACCAGACTGGGTATTTGAGGGTAAATATCAATAAAACTGTGATTTCTACAAAACAATGTAATGCTCTAAATGTAAAGGACAAAGAAATAGAAATTATAAACGGAAAAATCTGTAAAGGATAATAAAAACGTACTCGGAATTAAATTGAATATCGATTTTTGTGCGATTCTTAGCCCAATTTGGGTGAAAAACGTTGCAACGCTTTTCATCTTTATGTAATTTTGCACAATTAAATGATTATTATGGAAAACGTGATGAGGGAATGATCTAAAAATCTTCAAACAAGTTATAAGTCAAGAACAAATGGTTCACAAATCCCGGAAAAACTATTTCCAGTCCTATCGTCTCAAAATCCTCAGTTGAGTCCCTTTAAAATTCGTTTTTGTTTTCGTTTTTTCACTTCACATATCTTTTTTTGTTCGTTAATAAGACCAAAATCAAGTAGCATTGGTTTGTATGTTCAAAAGGGTTATGTATACAAAACACTATTATTATTACAGAAAAAGCGCTTACTTTTGTAAATGCTTCAAAATTAAGTAATGAACAATAGGGGTTGAATGTTATTTCTAAATATTACATATTTTTTCTTTCTATTTCAGAGGAAATATTATTCACAGACAATGCAATTTGGTGGTCACCTTCGGGTCATTATTTTGCGTTTGCTTCATTTAATGACTCAGAAATAGGCTTGTTTGATCTTACATATTACGGCGATTTAAAGAACCAGTATGTTGAAAATAAGAAATTATTATACCCTAAGGTAAGTAAAATTTACATTGTTTTCCAGGGGATGTCCAAACTACTTTCCCCACACCGTTTTAGGTTCGAAAAACGTGCATTTACGGCGCGTGGTCACGAAAATTTATCCGTTTATGTATGTTTTCGTCTCCGTTCATGTATGCCTGCTTGCGCAAATTTTATGCAAGAATAATATTTACATTACTGAGCATTACAAGATAAAGATGTTTTTGGCAGTATAATTATCCAGACAATGTTCTAAAAAATCATTATCATTGGAGAGGCACTAATTTTCGTGGTTTCCATAGATAGGTCTAATCACAAATTAAGATCCAGCGCAGTTTTATTACGTTGGCTATAAGATTAATTTAGAATTATATTATTTGCATCTTACTATTGTGCAAAAACAGAAGTCAACAAATGAAGAAAACAACACGAAAAAGTTCTCTGTTTTTTGGGGTTTTTTTTTTTTGGGGGGGGGGGTTTGTGTTTTTTTGCGGGGGGTGTTTTTTTCTTCTTTTTTTGACAAACAAATATGCCCACGAAATTATGTGATTTCACAGAATACAATATTTTGGTTAACTTTCTTGTTCATAATTTCAGGCTGGCACAACAAACCCAACATTTTCGTTACATATATTCAACACACATACAAACGCAACTATAAATATAGATGCGCCCGAAGCTCTCCGAGATATGTAAGTATCCCTTTGAAACCTGAAAATTAAATATTTACTTTACACTACACTTAGTTTTTGGCATGTTGAATCGATATAATTTCAACTTTTATATTTTCATTATAGTGTATACATTTGGTCATGTGAACAGTACATTGTTCCAATAGGAGTAGAGTTTACAGTACATTTGACATATTTTCATTGTATTGTTCTTTGTTAGTAAATTGTATGTTGTATTGTTACATTTGAAGTCAAGGTTACAGTACATTGTACATGTTTTCGTAGTTTTGTGTACAGAACTTGTAAATATCGGCAATCTTTCCCCTGTCAAATCATTGGACAAGTCATGAATGGACATGATATAAAATGTTATTAATGACGTCATCGTCGAAAGTCTTAAATAGCATTTTACTCTATCTCCACTGCATGAATAACATCTAACAATACATTTCTCTAGAACATTAGAGCTCTTATTCAGTTAGAAATGTAATTCTAACTAACCTAAAAATTCTTTCATATGTCACGTGACTGATTCTGTCTAAAACACGAAGTAGGATGATGTTAACAATTATTACAAGAATAACACACTTGTTCTGTTTCCAAAAAAACAACACCAAAAATCAACAAAACACGCAAACATCCAAAACCATGGTAACAAATTAATCAAAAGAAAAAAAACACATTTTCGAATTCAGCATATGTCGTAAAACAATATGCTGTTGTTCAGATTGCCCAGAAATAAACAAGTTATAAAATGGTTTACTTTGGGAGCGATTTTCTCAACATTTAGAAAATGATAGTTGGAGTCTCGTGCCAATAACAATACGCTTCTGCAAATATATGTTTGAATTTATTTTATTTTCAGCGATCATTATTTCACGAGAGTCACGTGGCAGAATGATGACCATGTTCAGATAATATGGTTAAATAGACCACAAAATATGTCAATAATAACTATATGTAGTGCTCGAGATGGATCCTGCATTGAGGTAAGTGCGAGTGCCATTTTACTAAAGTTCGGATCTACTTATTTCTTCCATATAGATCTGATGACCACCGTGTACGTTTCGCCTTGTTTCAATAATTCAGATTTTCCGAAAAAGCTATTTGTAGCAATGCAATCAAACAGGTTTTTACAGATAGGGAATCAAAATACCGTTTCTGTGGAAGTAAAACAAATTGTTGATTTTTGTTAGAAAAATTTGAACATATTAACATGAAATGATGGAGTCATTTTAATGGGCAAGATTGTTTTGCCAGATTCAAGCTTATTTTTATGAAAAAAAATGAAAATGTATTAAAATGTAAAATATTGTGAAGCGAAAAAAAGACAATAATGTACGCATTGTGAACTGCAATAACAATCCTTGTAAATTAGCAAAAACATGTCAAAATATGCAAAACTATCTCTTATTACGTAAGCCAAGCAATTGAAATACGGTGATAATTTCTGCAGCATCAGCAACGTGTAAATTATTACTTGAATCTTGAACCTTCTTAATGTTCTTAAAATCTTAGTACTCACTAATCAGACCACCCTGCACATTAAGACCACTTTAGAGCAGTCCCGTCCTTGATCTTAATTGAGGGTTTTCACAGTAGATGTTTTCCAAAGTTTGATTTGTTTGAAACAATTTGACTCATATGGAGACAGGCACGCAGCATAAAATTACTAAAAGCATATAAAACATAGTCTATAACAAACTTTTTATTTATTTCAGAATTTCAGATTTACAGCACCGTCAGGCGGCTGGGTTGATTTGGTATGAATCTTGAACATTATTATCCTCGAGTATATTTATCTAATATCTGTACTAGATCATACTTTATTTACGAGTGTATTTGTTTGATAAGAGTTGATAAAAAATATATCTGTAACATAATTTACTTGTTAACGTCAAAATACCATTCTACGAGTATTATATAACAATTATCTCAGTTCAATGTATCAAAGACATCATGGAATAATAACACTACTGTTTTTATATACATGTTTCTTGTTTTTATTATACGCCCGTTTGAAAAACGGGACGTATTATGGGAACGCCCCTGCCGGGCGGGCGGGCGGGCGGACGGCGTCCAATTTTGTCCGGAGCATATCTCCTACACGCATAGAGGAACTTTAATGAAACTTCATAGAAATGTTCACCACTATGATATGCTGTGTCATGCTTATGAACTAGATCTGTAGAGCAAAGATCAAGGTCACACTTACAGGTCATTGATAATGCTTGTCCGGAGCAAAACTTCCACATGTATAGAGGGATTTCAATATTACTTGGCACAAATGTTCACCATTGTGAGGCGGAGTGTCGCGTGCAAGATTCAGGTCCTTGCGGCCAAAGTCAAGGTCACACATAGAGGTCAAAGTTCAGATAAAAATATGAAGATGTGTATATGGACCATTTAGTCATCATTTATTGAGGGATTGTAACACAAATGGTCATTATCAAGACTATGGCTGTGATACATATAATTTAGGTCAATATATATACAAGGTCAAGGTCACTAAAGATGATGAAATATCCAGATTTTGTAAATAGAATTTAATCAAAGGGCAACAACAAAGTTATTACTTTGTTCATAAATGACTTACACAATTACTCCCCTTGATCTACTTTCACTTTCAATTCTAAAAATAGAATTTAATCAAAGGGCATAAAATAATCCTCTTTCTTGGACTTGAGTATGTTCTAAAGAATGTAACATTTATTTACACATGTTTCATTCATTGGTCAAGATTCTTAACTGTGATAACTATGGTGTTTCTGTAGACTTGGTATTTGTTCATAAAGATCATACAGTAATTACCTTATCAAATGTAAATACTTTCTCATAGAAATTTAATTATATTTTAATTTTCAAGTAAATATCAGTTCAGCTCATTCAAAGATTAAGAATTGTAATGAAATGTATTTCCCTAGAATAAAATCTTAAATCAGAATTTTTTAGTTATTAAATTACAATTACATGTACTTTTTATCTTCCCTACTGATTTGTTTTAAGGTTCATTTAACAACACAGTGCGGCTGTGCCAAGGATAAAAACTTGCTTGCTAGATAACACTTATCCATAATGCCCCCATCTCCATCTAAAGCTTTCGTAAACGGGCGTATTTTGTGACTATGGCACCCTTGTTTTGTTTTGTTTTTGGCTGTTTTTCGTATCTACATGTACACAGCTTTATTATTTAGTTCAGTCTCCTCAACTTTATCATCTCTTAATTGAACACCACCGTGGTCTAAAAGTCTAAAAACATGAAATTAAGTTCTGAGATAACTAAGCTTGGGTTTTTAGCAGAGGAAAAAAAATGTGCAAGAAATATACACAAAATTGGTTTGAATATCGAATTTATGTGCCATTTTTGGTCGGCTTTTCATTTTTATTTATTTTCTTTTATTTTATTTTAAAATTATGCACACAAGTTGTTTCCTTGACCTACTGATCTAAAAAAAAAAAATTTCAAATCCTGCCATGTGAAAAATCGGTCGATTCCCTTTAACGTATTCAAATACGTAATCCGGATATAAAGTACAAACGTTAAGTAGGTCTGTTTTAGTCTGACTTCGGCCGACGAAGGGTCACATTGCAATTAACATTATTAATGAAATGGAAACGTGGCCTTGAATTTCGGGTTAAAATAGGATCCGTATTAAATCGGGACGAGTCACGAGATAAAGGGTAATACAGTGGCTACATATTTTAATTGTATACATTCATTATAGCAAATATGGGGAATATTTTGCGTTGTTGCTGGTTTTTTTCTGTTGTTGTTGTTCTTGTTGTGTGTCCCAAAAATTTAACATTATAATTTGTTTTTTAACAGTACGTAAATCCAACATTTACGGCTGACGGAGGTCATTATTTCCTGATATTACCACAGCGTGAGGGAGATGCGGGTTATTACCGACATATAGTAAAGATAGACGCTTCTGTAACCGTTAATGTAAGCCAAAATATTCTAGATATTACTTGAAAATATAGCTTTATAATTATATACTCGACTATAAATAATATACAAGTCTTTAACCCCGTTTACTCGTCAAACATTTTATTTTTCATTTCATCTAACAATAATTATTTTTTATGATAACTATTCGGAATAAAGGCTTTATCATTTTTATTTCATACATTTGAAATATTTACATAAAAATGAAATAAATGTATGTTTATTTATAAGTCATATGTCAGATATTTTCTACATTAAATGAAAATAGAAATTATTTCAATTTAAAAACATATGCTGATTATTATCAATTATTTTCATTATTATTATTATTATTATTATTATTATTATTATTATTATTATTATTGTTATTATTATCATTATTATTATTATTTTTAATTATTATCATTATTATTATCATTATTATTATTAGAATTATTATTAATAATAGTTATAATATTATTATCATTAATAATAATATTAATTTTTTTTATATTATTATTGTTATTATTATTATTATAATTATTATTATTATTATTATTATTATTATTATTATTATTATTATTATTATTATTATTATTATTATTATTTGCAGATTCCAGCAGGTATCTATGGTAGAACAGCTGTTATAACAACCGGTTTGTTTGACGTTATATCGATAAGTAGATACGATGAAACTGCAAAGCAAATGTAAGTTATAAAATATTTGTTATATAACGTGAATTAAAGTGGCTTGGTCTACAATTGATACATTTTTCACAAATATTTAAATTATCGATAAATACAATAGAAATTTATTATTTGCGTATTGATATAATATATTTCTCGGAAAGAAAATCAGATATTTATGAAAACGATAGAAATGTATTATTTGCATCTATTTTTATGAAATATTTCTTGGAAAAAATGTTGATTTGGTACTAAGTGATTATAGGGTTATATTGCAAATAGCCGTTTACATACGGCCATACAACCTGTCAACAATCTTTATAACGAATTTATAATACAGCAAGCATCATTTTTTAGAGAAAAATGTAAGATTTTCTTCATGAATCGACAGCAGCCGTGTATATAAACGTCACGATTATCCAATGAAAAGCTACGTTACAAACATGCAGTATTATAAAATATATGTTATAATTGACACTTACCAACATTCCCTTTTAGGGCGATCTTCTACCATATTGTATTCATACGCTCATTTTTTGGAAGTATTATTTTTTTAATTCGAACAATAATTTTTGCGACAGATAAATAGTTTTTTTACACTTTAACTACAATATATTTTTCCACTATGATATTTTAAAAGAGCCCAACTGATGTCAAAAATGTTTTAAAAAAAAAACAAGAAAAAACAACAAAAACAACAAAATTTAAAATTCTTGCATAGATCAAGTGCAGCACTTCAGTTATGAAATAGTGATTTTTGTGCGATTCTAAGCCCAATTTGAGAGTAAAGCGTTGCTGTTTTTGTCTTTTCTATGTTCATTTTGCACAATAGAAATTTAGAAATTATTATTTTGCAAAAAAGGGGTGAGGAAGTTGTCTGAAAATTTGCACACAAGTGTTTGGTTCAAACCTACTTCAAATACTACACATATATTGAAAAGATATTCCAATCTCGTCATGTCAAAAAACTTCAGTGGTGTCCCTATAAGGAAATTGAAGGAAACGGTCATCCTTTTTCTAAATTTTATACTTACATCTGTAATAAACGACCCCATTTATATTATACCTGATTCAGTTTTCGAAAGGCAAACGTACGAACAACTGCTTGGGACATTTCAATTTCATGAATTCTCGATTTTATCTTCGTAAGTTTACAAGTTTAACTTCGTGAATTCACGTTTTAAACATACTGAATTCACAACAACTTCATAAATTAACGATTGTTACTTCACGACTTCACTATTTCAAATTCATGAAATCACGATTTCAACTTCACGAATTCAACTTCGTGAATTCGCGATTCTTACTTCGCGAAATTCACGATTTCAGCCTCGTAAATTCACGATTTTAACTACGTGAATTCACGACTTTCAACTTCATTCAAGTTATGTGAATTAGTGCTGAGTCATGAAATTTCACTCGAATTTAACTTGAAAAACATAAGGTGAAATTTGCACATGTGTATCCGATTGATTTCTCAATTTTGGAATATATGCCAGTGCACGCTATCTTTGTAATCTGTATGCACATTCTTTCATCCTAGCATAGGGTAATCAAAACGTTTCACATATTTTATTGTAGACTTGAAATATCGTTTATCTCTTGTTATTTCAGATATTATCTAGCATACAAAACAGGTGATCCCACATCTAGACATCTTTTCAGGTAAATTAAATGAGCTGTGTCATGACAAAACCAACATAATGGGTTTGCGACCAACATGGATCCAGACAAGCCTGCGCATCCATGCTGTTCGCTTACAAAGCCTATTACAAGAAGAGAAACTGATAGCGAACAGCATGGGTCCTGATCAGACTGCGCAGATGCGCAGTCTGGTCTGGATCCTTGCTGGTCGCAAACTCATTATGTTGGTTTTGTCATGACACGGCTCAAATGTAGAAATTAGGCTTATAACTATCGTGTATAGATAATCTGATAGATATGTATCGGCTGCTAACGGGAGAATATTATCGCAACAATTCCAGAAATGCAAGAAGATGGTGTGAAATATAAATGATTGAAGATTTAAGTATTGAGATTGATCATAAAGATCTATAACTGTTACGTTATTTCAGCGTAAAAACGTTAATGATTATGATAATGTATGCTCTTATTTTACTATGTTATTCAAATAACTTCACCCCTTTTACTAGATTTTTACACTTCACAACAGCAGGTGTCAAGTGCTGTGTGGCAGCTGTTATATACTGCTCCGTACTTAACTTCATTACTCTTATTGGCCAATCAGAATCATAGGTTTCGGCACATTACTTGAATTTTATTTTTTATTTATTAAATAGACCTTCCCATCTTTCAATCTGGACAAATCTATTCATCGCTTTTAGGGGAAATTTTGAAAAGATTTACTGACAGAAAAGGGAAAAATACACATCAAGATCAGATACTGACAGGCTTGATCGCATGGGCAGAATAAAATGCCGTAAACAAGTGTAAACTTTATGCCCCGGTCACATATTCACGGATAATGCCACGGAAGAGCTACGGTCTAATCGTTCACGGACTACTACGGAAATGTGAAATTCCGTAGTCCGCTACGGTTCCGGTACGGACACACAACGGTATGAGTACAGAGTTTGACGGATTTACCACCAAAATCCCCGGGAGAGACACGGATTGTTATGGACCAACACGGTTTGGTACGGAGCGACACGAATCAGGACGGATGCACTACGGATACACTACGGTCTGCTACGGTATAAGCACGGGTTAGTACGAATTAGTACGGGTCTGATACGGAGAAGAACGAATTGATACGGAGAAGAACGTATTGCCACGGACCTATACGGACCTATTATATCCGTCCGCAACCCCTTGCATGCTCATTTTCAAAATGCCTCACAAGAAAAGAACACCTAGAAAACGAATTGCAGAGTTCAATGATTTTGGCGGAGAGGATTCGGCCTCATCGCGTCCGACCCCCGAGTCATATAAGGTCCGATTAAAGTGAATTTCATAAAGGACGCCGGATCCTCAACAGGTTCGGCCATGAGAGCCTCATACTTAACATGTAGGGGTCTTTGTAAACCCCATTTCTAGTCCACCATCTCTTCTTACCTGCTTAGATATGGGCTAGTAATCATTAAAGAAAAGTAGTCATCAATACTGCTTCTCTTTTGATTTTGAAATTTGCTGTTCATTTTACAATAACAGTAATTATCATTAATGTTTATGTTTTAAAAATATGTAAAAAGCTTATTAATTAATCTTATTATCACTCAAGGGCCAGCATCCGAGGCTTATGAGACACTTCGTTTTATGTACATATTTACTCAAATTTCACGATCCAAATTAATGTTTGTAAAATATGTAACATTAAATTCTATTCTATTACTTATGAATTGTAGTACGATATTAATATATTTTTTCCCTTTGTGCATGTCATCAAGCAGCTCGACCACTGCCTCCGCATTTTGAGCTATTTCAATATAAAGTTGCAGCCAGTAAATGGCAATTATCATTTATTGAATGTTCACGCAAATATGTCTATTTTAACAAGAAGGTAGTATTTATACCCTTGAAAAAGCACATGATACTATAAATTTATTCCACGTATGTAATATAAATCCGTGTTTATCCGTACTAAACAGTGGTAGACCGTACCATTCCGTACCGTTTCGTGTTGCAACGCAATAAACCGTATAAGACCATCCTAATCCCTGCCTCTCCGTAGTACAACGTATTACGATTGTAGCTTTCCGTGACAATGCCGTATTAATCCGTATTAAAACCGTAGCTTATACGTAGGGTAACCGTACAAATACATAGTTCTCCGTACCAAACCGTGGAAATCCGTAGCAGGTTAAGGCCTACGAATCAGTACGGACTAGTACGGTTTCCGTACGGACCTGTACGTAACAGTACGGTTTAATACGGACAAGTAGGGATACGCTACGGTTGATTTTTCCGTAGCAAATTTTTGTGCATGTTCAAAAATTGTCAAGGATCGCTACGGATATACAAGGACTACTACGATTGATTACGGTTACAATACGGAGAACTACAGACCAGTACGGGTAGCTACGGACGAGGCCAGAATTAATCCGCGGCTCTTCCGTGGGCGTATTCCGTGAATATGTGACCGGGGTGTTACGCTTCTGAACAATCGTAAACGCTTAATTGTTTCCTAATTGAAATACATCTACCAGATATTTTTATCTGTCTTACATTGTCTAGAACTAGCACAGAACCCGGATCTGATTTTCAAAAACCAGTCTGTATCACGTGCTCAATCTCCAAAGACTGTGATTGGATAAGCGCAGATTTCCCGGATGTAGGGGATAGGTTTATGCTGCAGTGCCTTGGTCCAGGTATACCTACGTATACACTGAGATCCTTGACTTCCAATACAGGTAATTCTTTATTCAAAATGATAATCATGTACACAAAAAGTGTTGTCTAAAGAATCCCAGTATATAAATTAAAAGTAGATTAAAATGATTTACAATTGAAATAAATAAATTGTATACAATCATGTTAAATAGTATAAGAATTCAAAAGTGTTGTGTTGGAACATCGAAATATTTTTTTTTTCTAGAATTTACCTGTAAAACTGCAATGATTCAGACTATAACAGTTTTTTACAAGGCAACAACCAAATAACGTTTATATTCATGATTCTGGGTACCTAGATATTTACAGTACAACTTCTGTAGAGCAACCACCTCTTTACAACAACAAAATTATTTATTCCGAAAGGAATACCTCAAAATAAATTAAAACTCTGTAGAGTCAGCAGCAACCAAACTCAATGTCTCCAAAAGGTCGTTTCTATATAAAGATTGTACTGGAATATAGATATTATATTTATTTAGCTGTTTCAACCAAATGAATATTCTAGATAAAGTGGATTGTTTACATCGCTTCCTTTATTTACCTTCTTCGAATGACCTTTTGTATTTCATGTGATTTAGGCTGCTTTTGCGTATCATATCGACACATAATTAATACAATATACATGAATAGTTACAAGCTTAAATAGCATATGAGCGCTTAATACGGAAATGACTATACCTAAGCACGGTCAATCTACACATTCGTGTTACCAGTATAACCATTATTTATTTATTATCCTCCATAATACATGAAGATTTGAACAATTACACAACCAGTTTTTACATAACTACAGACACAACAGGTATACAAATGTGATATATACATTACAAGACAGAATATAGATAAACAAATGCAAGTAATCTATAAAATGTATACATTGGACAGCACAATTATATGATTTGCCCCTAACTGAAAAGTAAAGCACTGAGTAAGAATTAAGACGGGGAAAAATGCTTGTATATGATTTAGACTTCCCTCTAACCCTAGTGCGAAAACGAAACACTAGGAAACAGAGAGCAGGGAAACAAATCTACAAGTTTTAATTCAATGACATTTATATGAAAACCTAGACCAGTTCACTAGATGATCGAAATGTCATTTTCATAAAGAATATAAACGGTTACTATTTAATTCACTACTATAGTAATCCAAGTTACACTGATTGAACAATTCATTAAAAAACAATATTTTTAAGCAACGCTAAACTGAAAGTTCTGATGTTTGAAATGAATTATTTAACAAAATGATTTTTAATTCCTATAACCACTTAATTGATGGTAAATATCATTTATTTTTAAACTTAAATCTGCTATGCTACTGCTATAAATGGAGTATGAAACAACTGTATAATACAGTCCAGATCGATACACTTTTGCAATTATGAATACATACAGTAAATTTGCAATTAATGAAAAAGATATAGAGGATATTTGTTTGTTTTACATGTAAGATTGAAATATAATTTCACTGAGTGAACACCAGATGCAATATTTTCACAAGTGGCGTAGCCACGAGTGAAAATATAATAGCTGGTGTTCACGAATGAAATATATTTCAATCTTATATGTAAAACAAATAAATTTTCTTTTTATTTCATGCCTTTTAAGTGATTTTAAGTATTTTTTTACTGGTTTTGCCGAGTAACGTCACGCATTCTCCTTTGTGACGTCATCACATCATGACGTCACATAATCAATTTTAAAATATAGGTCTGTTAAATTTCTTTACTTTTGTGTCGTTTTTAACATGATGTATGATGACATCGACTTTCTTTTCCTAAAGAAGCAAAATTTACGCACGACGGCATTAATTTCGGCCTGTTATTCCATTTAGTTATGATTTTCTTTTCATCCGCATTCAGATATAGTCCGGCTACAGTGAAAATTATATTTTATAAATTTCACTAGTGGTTTATCAGAATATAATCATCTGATATATAACAATAAAACACTGGAAAGCATGAAATAAATATGTACGAATATAATTTTCATGAACATGTATAAATGCAAATCAAATATGCATAATTTATGGTTATTTCTCAAATTCATACACAAAGTTCAGCTTTGTTTCAGTAGACATAACATCGATACATAAAAACAATTCTTTCAAAAGAATTGTGCTATTTTCTGATTAATGCACTTTGTACATTTTGAACATACACTTAGTCATCCAAAAGTTTGAAAATTTCGTATCGTTGTTCTGGATGGCCAAGCTAAGGCACCTGACACACTGTTCCCTAGGCTCACGGCCTATCAAGTCCGAAAACCAGTCCATGCCAAGGCGGTCGATTAACGCCGTTCCACATACTTTCAATTAATAAATTGTTTTTCAGAACAGTTCAGCAGCAAATGCGTTGTCATATCGTCTGTTAACACCGAACACTTTGAACACGTTCGAATATATTCATTTGAACAGAGAGTTCCAATGGCGGAAACTAATACTGAACATATATTCAAAAGAGTTTGGTTACATTTTGCTATCTGCCACAGTACATTTGGCTCATTCACTTTTATCACAGCTCTTAAAAGGTCGCCATGATCACTTGTCATTAGCCTGTTATATCGATTAAGTTTTTTCAGTATTAATTATATGTTTTGTTAGTGTACGCGTTTCCAAGCGATTTTCGGATGGAAAGGATCCCGTATCTTTGTATGTATGTAATACATCGCATAGTTGATACTTTTGTAGAAGTCTATAGATATCTGGCAAAAATCCACGGAATGGAGTATTAAATTGCAGAAATCGAACTAGTCTGTTGTTGAAAATATCTTTTGCTAAATAATTGTTTGATAGATGACATAATTGTCCCAAAAATTGCAACTTTCTGTAGTCTATTAATGATTCAATGGACACCATATCAATGGAGCTTAGTACGTAGTCTGTGTGTGTATTTGTCTTCAATGACTGTATGTTTAAGTATGAATCTCTTATAATGCCGAGATGAACATATTTATTCTGCTCAGCAATTGTGTTTAATCCCAGTTTGAACCAAACTCTATACTGTAAAATACTTGGAAATTATTTTGACTTTAGATCATTGACCTGAAATGTTCTGGATTCAAACTGGGTCAATCCCCAAACATAACTTCAAAGGAACGAGGGGGTTATAATTATTATGTGAATTGTACATTTAAAAAATTAAAAATAATCAGATGAAGTTTACCGTCGATCACTAATAGATTAAAAATTATTTTTTTTATTGAAGTAATTACATTTGAAGACAATAAGGACAAAGCCGAGGAGTTGAAGAACATTGCGCTTCCAAGAATCAAAATTATGCAGGTGCCCTTAAATGATAAAGAAAGTAAGTAAATATAAATATTACATGGCATATAAGTATTTTATTTATTTATTTATTTATTTATTTATTTAATTATTTATTTATTTATTTATTTATTTTATTTTTTTTATTCATTTTTTTAAATAATGCATTGAGGGACACCTGAGGTCTTTCTCCTAAAATAAAGCTGTAAAGAATGACCTCTTCTGTGACGTCAACAAAAATGAAAACAGACGTTTCTTGATGTTGCCGATAGACCATATGCTATCTGTTTTAAAATATAAATGAAGTGTCTACCTTTAAGAGGTCTTCAAAATTAAAAAAAAAATAAGCAAGTCAAAACTCTTTAATTTTCTTGTAGAATTTTTATCTGCTTGTGTATCATATTATTTCAGTTATTGCCTTTATACACTTAATTTGGTATATTTTGTATATTTAGTGATGTGGGCGAAATTAAAGCTGCCGGTAGAACTGAAAGAAGATGAAGAAATCAAATTCAACTTGCTCACAGATGTGTAAGCGCGTGAGATTTTCAAATATTAAGGCTCACTATCCCTAAGAAATCCAAACTTTTTTTAATTATTTTTTAATCTTAAACATGTGTTACATGACCTGTTGAATAATTAAAGAACGTAGTGCTGAAGGTTCAATCATTTGTCATACAAGTAGCAAAAATGTAAACAATGTAGTATTTTGTCTTCCATACAAAATACTTTTTCAGTATAATTAAACCAAATATATATATTAGTATATATATTTTTAAAATATATATATTTAAGTCATTTTGTACAAACTATTTTGAAAAAAATACCGTGGAACCTTCAATAGTTTATCAATATAAGAGTGTTTACAAAAAATTTAAAGAATATATTAATTTATATATATGAGCCGTGTCATGAACAAAACCAACATAATGGGTTGCGACCAGCATGGATCCAGACCAGCCTGCGCATCCGCGCAGTCTGATCAGGATCCATGCTGTTCGCTTACAAACCCTATTACCCAAGTAGAGAAACTGATAGCGAACAGCATGGATCCTGATCAGACTGCGCGGATGCGCAGCAGGCTGGTCTGGATCCATGCTGGTCGCAAACCCATTATGTTGGTTTTGTCATGACGCGGCTCAATTATATATAAATATATTGTATATATATAAATATATTGTAAGTGGTTCCAAATACCAATTGCAGATATGGCGGCCCAAGTTCTCAAAAGGTAACTAAGAGATTCACACTGGATTGGGACGAATATTTAGCCAGCTCACACGGCATCATCATTGCCAATGTTGACCCACGTGGTACAGGTGGGCGTGGCGATTCTTGGCGGCATGCTAATTATAGACATTTAGGGACAACAGAGGTGGACGACACTATTGTTGCAGCAAGGTAAAACAAGTCGTCTGGTTGTTTCCTAAATCTGAAAGGCAACCTTATTATAATAATATTGAATAAAATTCAGAAATCTAATTCCTTTATTTAATTCATTATATTAACAATTTAATTCATTATATTAACAATATTTTTAAAAATAGTGTATGAATAATTGAACGATGAATTTTCCTGAAGGTTACAAAATTAAAAATTGTGGGGTTGATATATTTTATGTAACAGCATTAGTATGTTTTGTATTTTTAATGCATGTATTCGCAAAATTTAGATTTTTAATGAACGATGCCAATTTACTTGTGTGAACCGGAAGAGATTATCCGCCTTTTGTGCAGTCTGAACCGGCTCTATACTGCGGGTACCCTATTTTCTGTATTTTTATAATAAAAGTCACGAAACTTTAAATGGACAGTTGCTCTAAAATCATTTAAAGTAGGGTTTTCACAGCCGGTTTAGTGTGAACATTGTAGCTTAAACCTAGTACATGTAATAAATGATTGTATCAGAGTTATGCACCAGAATTTAACATTTTTGTTTTCAGATATTTTAACAAATTGAAGTATGTCAGTGATAAACATGCTATATGGGGTTGGGTAAGTTATTTAATGTGATATAATTCTACATATTCTATGTTTATCACATCACATCGACAAGTAACAGTTGTCTTAGAAACCAACGCTACCATTTTTTGACGCGTTCTACAAGAAAATGCTGTATCTTGGTGTTTCAAAATTCACATTTAATAAAATATTTTGAATAATACTTTTTCTCACAAGTGTTTAATATATTTTTATTCTAACATTATTTTGACAATATTTCCTTTATAGGTATATAATAAATATTTTTATTGGCTTCTAAAAGAGATATATTATAAAATGTGTATCATTTAAATATTGCATATTCTTGTTTCAGTCATATGGTGGATTTCTAACTGGTTTGGCCTTAGCACGTGGCACGGGTGTCTTTGATTGTGGGATAACCGTGGCGCCCGTCACCGACTATAGATATTACGGTTAGTCTCGTTTTATCCAATCATTAAAGTTCTTATTTCTTAATCAAAATAAACTTTGTTATTGGTATAAGATGTGTCAGGACTAATCATGTTCGTATATTTTCTTGTATTACTGTACGTTGTTTTCGATGGGTTGGGCCTCTATGTCTTCCAGTATGAACGTTGCAAGCGCCTTGCAGCGTCAGTCAAATCTTTTTAATTTGGATATAGACATAGACAGGTCATTAAACATTAAGTATATTTGGATCCTAACACAACTTTAACAATCACTGGCCGCCATATTGATTCTCCAGCTGTGTACTCGTCCAAATATATTCCCGTATTGTAAATAAGTAGTGTTACGTTACATAACGCTGAATGGTAAATGTTGTTTACTTCATACTATTTATCCCTCACCACTGCAATTCGAATCTCGCCAGGGGCTTTGCATTCTTTCACGTGAGGAAACTGTTGTTCGACTCAGGTGCCCGTTCATACCTTTAGTGAGGTATTTCTTTACCAGGAAGCTCGAAAGTCGAGGTATTGCGTGCGACGTAAAAACCAACAGAAAAAGAAAAATTTGAAAACCAACGTATTATCATCTATAACATACTGTGCCGCTTTTGCGACTCAGTAAAAATGTTTTGTTACACGGTCTAATTTTGACGTTACGTCATTTGCGTGCTACAAACAGTGTAAAGAAACGCTTAATGTTAGCGTACACTATAAAATAGTCGCGTCAATAAAAATTATTCTTTTTCATTCTTTATTTTTGGGTATGAGATAAATAGAATATGATATTCGTGTAGGTTCATAACTGAAATTATTGAACTCGTGAAAAAGAATCATATTATGCACGTCACAGGCTCGCATTATACATGTATAATTCTATTCAACTCGTTCAATAAATACAGTACTGAACTTACATCCATTCAATATGGTCTATATATTACAGATAGTGTGTACACGGAGAGATACATGGGCATGCCATCCGCAGACGACAATCTGGAAGGATATGAGGTATGAGTTATATGAGTAAATCAATTTAGGGGACAGCGATACCCTACTGGTTAAGGTGTCTTACTTTAAACCTGGGATTGGGGTTCGAACCTTACTAGGGGTTACGGCCATATTTTTCTCATAACTATCACTAATCTCGTGCTAGTTTCCAAAATGGACGGGACTGGAAAATTGTTTCGCAATTCATGTATTACAGATCGTATGTCGTTGTTAACTCTGTACCTTAATGTTTTTTAAAATGGGAAACTCATACATCAGTCCAATAACCCAAAAGTATTTAGGACTTCAAATTATTTTTAGTAATGCTTTTTTTTTACTTTAAATGGTTAAAACACTGCCGATATTATATTTTTGTCTTTCAGTTACATACGATTACCTTTTTACTTGCGCTCCTTAAAATAAAATGTTGGATTTTATTTTAAAGCCCTTTACCAATAGAATAGCCAGACACTGTAATTGAAGATACATAATGTATATTTTTATTTGCAGGCGACAAACATTTCCAAGTTTGCGGAACAATTTAGGAAATCAAAGTTTATGATTGTACATGGTACGGGGGATGGTAAGAAACCTTTATATTTTGTTAAACTAGCGTTAATTCATTTATTTGTCAGAATTGTGAGAAAATGAAGATATTCAAGACATTGTCTCCACATGAATTAATTATGTATACATTTCAGCTTTGTTTACTAATATTTTATTGTATAAATATACACACAATATACAATTTCATATTTTTACAGACATCATCAAGTGTACATACAAAAGAGTTGGGCCAAAAGTTCTAACAACATTATTGTGGGCCCTTCCTGTCTCATGTAATTTAAGCGAATGAATCTCGTTTATTTTCATTCATTTATTATATAACTCGCATATTCGAGGAATATTTGATAGAACACAAAATGCTCGTAATTTCATTTTCCTGTCTTTTCAACGGTCAAAGATTTTATGTTCCAAAACTGCAGTGAATACTATAATTTTTCCGTATTTTCAACGGCTGTTTTTGGTGCCGGAAACTTCTTCTTTCTAATTCTGGGCACTACACTAAATTTAACGGAAATTCTCTCAAATTGTAATATCAAAATAAAAAAATGTATATAATATACAGAAATTGAAGTTCTTTCCTATAAATACAGGATATATTTTCATCTTGTGGTATGAAAATTATCATATTTCACTCGTGGCTACCATGCACTCGATGAATATAAATCCTGTATTTAGAGAAAACACTTAAATATCCTCTATTTATAATTATTAATTTCTATTTTTCTTTTTTGTCATTTCTTTTTTCATTTTAAGAGAAAAAGGATATCGATAGCCTAATTAACTTAAATGAAATGAAAACCATTGCTAGCATAAGAATATTCTTATTCTCTATTTAGTTACTTTTACTCCTGAATTTCTAGATCATAGCTTTATATACATTTTTAAAATATGTTTAAAAGTTTTAAGGATTTTTTGAATTTCTTTATCGATATCAAATAATCAAATGCAGACGTTTCAAAGTTATAATTGAAAAAAAAATCTGCTTCTCTTTCATTTTGTTTTCGATAAGGTTCAAAATAAGATTTGAATGATTAATATAATTTCACTCTGCTATCATTTTGGGCCATAAAACTTATTTTATCTTCTGAGTTAATTGTAAGCCTGATATCGCGAAAACCGATGTCACTCGTACGACTAGGTTAACTGGCATAACAATCTTGCCAATTAACAATTGAGTCTAATATTTCCAGTTTTTCAGATTACTCCAAACATATTTTTTTTCTAAAAAAATTCTACAATTTCTTTTACTTCCACGGATAACGATATTTTGATACTTTTCGTATAATGCCTAACTGTATAGGGCGGTTTGATTGCATGGCTTAAAATAGCTTTCTTCATGAAATACAACTCACAATGGACGCGAAAGAAATACAGTTCTACATGCAAGAAATAGCATATTAAGTAGATATAAAGTTTTGTCGGATTGGACCAAGATTGCTGTTCCGTCAGTACATTATTTGAAATTTTACCTAAAATGATTAAGGGTTATGTCCAAATTGAAAGATGGACAAGTCCGTTTAATATATTTATTGTGGAAACCTGTTAAATGTATTCATTTATAATTCATTCTTTCAGATAATGTTCATTTCCAGAACACAGTTCAGTTGATTCGGGCACTTACGGAAGCTAACGTATATTTCCGATCTCAGGTTTGTATTTCTAAATGTAGGACCCGCATTTGGATAAAATAGCTTAGATATATACATGTACAATTTATTGGTACTTTCTTTATATCATAAAAGAGACAGACTGACACACAGAGACACATACAATTTATTATACTATCATATAAGATTGATAAAGTTCATAGTGATACGGAATCAGACTTCATAACTTGAGACTTGAAACCAAAAATATTTCAGAGAAGAAAACGTATTCTTTGTAATGCGGCAAAGAGCTTGAGGTACATTGATTCATGCTTTTTCACCTATGTATATCATTTGATGTAGGTTCAAATCTCATCATGGACTTTGGGTTCGGTGGTTCTACTCAGGTTTTCCCTACATCAGTAAGGCTGAAAATTCACCAAATGACTATACTATAAAAGGTGTGGTTCGAAACACAGCAAATCACTGCTGAATTTCTTAAAATTATTCATACTGAATAATCCATGTAAGGTTACAAGTCTTTTCCTAATATTTTCTATAATCATTTATTCGGACTTAATGGGCCTTTAATTCTCTTTGTTATATTTAGATCTACACAGATCAGCAACATAGTATAAACGGAGGTAACTCTCGCAGGCATCTATGGAACACGTTAGAAGATTTCCTCTTCCAGTGTTATGGTTAGCTCCCTTTCTTTAAATTTTGCCATAACGAATGAAATATTATTTGAACTGTGCTATAAGAAACAGATTATGTAAATATAAATCACGTATAAATAGAGACAATTAATACAGCATTGAAGATTAGCGTGGGTTTAAACCCTGTCAGGGGCAGGTCGTTGTTTCCTTGAGCAAGAAACTAAACTATACATTTATTGCTTAGTAATGGTTGGTTTCGGGACAGATTCGGGAGGGTTTTAATAAGCTTAAATCTTCCGGCACAATCGAACTTAAATAAATTTGTATACACTAAACTAGCTACTGCCCTTCTTTCTTTACCATTAAGAATAGTGCTACTGTTTTGGAACGATTTATTTTATACATATTTACTGAAATTGGCTATTTTTATTCCTAATATTAGAAATAAAGCACTGAACAATGATATGCCATGAGATGCATAAGTAGCATTTTATGCATTTTGTCAAATATATCTAAGTATTTAAAACACACAGCTTTAAACTGGGCTTTTATCTCAGAACAACAAAAAATATGTGAAAATGTTTATCTAATCACCTTGTTTTTGCTTATCTTTTTCAACCAGGAGGGACCAGGACACGGCTTGATGAGTTGAATAAAGAATCATCAGAAAAAGACGATATGGAGGACGAATAATTTCCAGTATTGAATGAAATAGATATATTGAGATGTTTGCTAATATAAGCGGATTACTTTTCCTCCTTGGAAATTCTATCGGCATTATAATTAAACAGACATTTTTCATATTTGGAGCAATTTGGAACGTTTTGATCAAAATAATATGACTATTCCATACATGGAATATGACTTTTCCATTTTTCAGAGACAATTGCTTTTACAACTATTTCCATCTTCGGAACAAATTCCTATTCAATCATACAATACTGGGATTCTCATCTTCAGAACAAATTGCCATTATATTCATAGAGTCGGAACAAATTGCCATTTCATTCATAGAGTCGGAACAAATTGCTGTTTCAGTCATAGAATAATGAAATATTCTCCGTTTCGGAACAAATTGCTATTCAATTCATAGAATAGTGAAACTCTCACCTTCGGAACAAATTGCTGTTCTATTGATAGAATAGTAAAATTCCCAGCTTCAGAACAAATTGCTTTTCCATTCACAGAAAACACAGATTGTCCAGCTCCGTAATAGATAACTGTGACCAACGGCTAAAAATTGTTCTTTGGAAAACATCATCTTTATAAACTAGATAGATACATTTATTTCCTCCATATTTGGAGAGCAATCCATATTGGAAACGTAATTGTATGTCAAAAATCAAACCTTAAGATGGATTGTCACTGTTTGATTCAATCGAATTAAATACCTGCTCAGTAATATCATAAAATGTCTAATTGTTGAGTTATGAAATAAAACAATCAACCTCTGGATTTTGTAATAATCCGGAAGTCTTAAATTGTAAAACAAACCGATGTAACATTTATTGCCTGGGCAATAGTGCTTTTTATTTATCATATAGTCAGATTATAATTATGTATGTAATGTACATATAACGTTTTATGGACAATGAATCACCACTTTTAAAGAAGTTATTGAACTGATTTATTTTGTAAATGTATATATATAAAATGAACATATTTGTTAATGAAAATAAGAGATATAAGTAAGTACTGTCGCACTGGTCATATTTATATTTTAAATTAGTGTTTTATTACCTACCCCGGTGATATTTTAGACATGTACACAAATATAAGTGCACACATATTTATAGGTTTTATAATTTTATAGCTTACATAGGATCTGCAAAATGAAATCCACCTATATATAAATGACGAGAAATCCACAAAAAATTCATTGTATTGAAATAACGATATGAAAAATGAAAACTACACGAGCAATCAATGAATATAACCAGCTAAATATAACTTAGAATCATTTACATTTATTATATTATATAACCCAGTATAAATGATTCTAAGATTATATAGCCCAAACAGCTTTAGGCAAGTGTATTATATGCTTAAAACCGTTTTTAAAATAAACATGGAAATTATAACAATCCACCTGTAACCTAGAGCGAGTGAAATATCAGTTAAGAAGTGTCATTATAAATATTACAGCATTAAGGTAGTCTTACTGTCATGCTTTCCCGCCAAAAAATCTAACATCGGCCAATATCGTAATGAATCGGTTATTTCCTGAACGTTATTTTTTCACAATCTTTGCTATTCAATAATTTTTAACTGGTTATTACCGGAATTTAGTACAAAGCGATAATGGATGAGTGATTGTAAAGAATTTAATGCCCAATATTTCGAAAAAACAAACGTTCCGATTTGCTACGATTGGGAAAATGTTAGATTTTTTGGCGGGAAAACATTACAGTAAGACAACCTTAACAAATGAAATAAGTAAGTGGTATATATTTGTTCGCATAAATAAACCGTCCGTGACTGATATCCCACTCGTTGAATCCAAAGTAAGATATAGTTATATAATTTTACCCTTAAACGTTTAAACAAAGCTGAATAAGGATGTATTTAACCATTGTATAATTTTTTTATTCTCTAGAATAAAAACCCATCAAATAAACAGATTGTTTTATGTATAACAAGTGTATATAAGGTATAAAACAAGGTTGTTTGATAATATAATTGTTTGTATATTAAAAGAATATATGAGTTTGTTTTGATTTTGTACTGTTTACTTTGTTTTGTAAACGAATTAACTGTAATAAAATATTTTTGTATAAATCATTTGTTGTTTTTTTTTTTTTTTTTTTTTTTTTTTGTTGTTGTTGTTTTTTTTACATTTTCCTCCGAATTAAAGAAACTGAAGTCCAAAAAAAATCCTGTAAAAATAGTTTTGAAATTTTAACATTGATCAAGTAAAGCACTTTTAATGGAAATCTGCAACAGAAGATTAAGAAATATGCTCCGAAATTATATTAAAAATCGATCTTTTTGTGCGATTCTTAGCCGTATTTGAGTGAAAGGCGTTGTAACTATTTTCATTATATTTAGGTCATTTTTTTACAATAAAATGATTATTCGGCGAAAACGGTCTGAGTTGTGGGAGTGACTTAAAAATTTTGAACCATCAAATGCTATACAAATCTCGGAAAAATATTTCGAGTCACGTTATGTCAAAAGAAGACTCGGTGGAGTTCCTTTAGATCGTGCTTGTCAAAATACTAAATACCACATAGTTCCACATACTGTAATAATGCTTTAACTGAAGTCCAATAAAAATGATGAGCATGCTATATTTTCGCAAATTGTACATAAATATATCTGGCCCCATTAAACAAAATTACTTATCCGTTTTGAGGTAAAGATATGCAAGAAGTTCTGGGGTTAGTATCTCGAAGCTATCGTTAGCATAACGACTATCGTATACCTCTCGTTAAGGTTTTCACCGCTATCTCGACGCTCTCGTAATTAACGAATAATCGTTAACATGCCCAATTATTAACGGATGCCTAGAGGGTGTCGTAAGGCTCTCGTTACTATCATTTTGACACAAAAGTAAGAAAGGTGCGATTTTAAAGTACATAAAAAATGAGAATAATATCATTTTATTGATAAAAAATGATGAACCGACATAAATATAGTAGATCTGTTGTATTTCTTTTTATCATGAATTTTCACAGGCCCGTAATAGATTTTCTTGTGTAAATTCACTCAAAGAACTCTTTAATACAATTCCATAAAAAAATATCACTGATTATTTGAAAGAGATAAACTTGTATTCTTGGATCTAATTGGCTCAATTTTATTGTCATTTACAAAGTTTTACATAACATTTTATGCATATTATAGCATTCGACACGATATGGCCAGTTATGTGTTGACGACCCGTAAAAATCCAAACAAACAAAAATTTTCTCACATATCAAACATATGTAAAGCTGGGTTCCCACTGCCGATCAGATCAACTCGATCAAGCCCGATCAAGCGATCGGGTACTGGTCTGGGTCGGTCGGAATGATTGATCGGGAGTGGTCGGGGAGGTCTACCTTGGTCGGCATCGCTCGGGCTTTCTACCCGAATTTTTTTGACATGTCAAAAAAAATTCGTCTAGCGATCGTGTAGCCAAGCGGTCGAGAAGAGCTCGGGAAGCGATCGTGTATTGATCGAGTTGAAGATCGAGTTGATCGAGAAACAATCGTGTAGCGATCTTGTTTGGTCGGATTGGCATCTTTAACCCGATCTGTACCCGATCATCTCGACTTCTACTCGAGTAATATACGATCGTATCCCGATTAAGTAGATCTCTGTTCGATCTCTTGTCCAGATTATCTAGACTGCTACCCGACTACTCCACGACCACACACGACCGCACACGATCAAAACCCCGATCACTGTTCGACCATACACGAGCAGGTCCGACTAGTGGCGATTTTTAGTCACCCACCTCTGTTTCAAGTGAGGCAGTTGGCGTGATATGATTGAAATACTTTGAAAAAGGCATAAAATCAAGAAACAAACAATCAACTCTATTGTATATACATGTATACTTGAAGCTAATTTCCTCCATTAACAAACATATCATGGAAACTATCATATCCAAATAGAAGATGACTTACTATACTTAAACATATCGGGAAATCACTTTAATAACTACTTAACTTGTGCATAATCGCATCATATAGGTTATACACGCCAAGCGTCATTAAAATATCTCTCCAAAGTAACTAACACACTAAATCATATTCTGTTGCCACTCAACTGAACCAGCTCGGGAGTTGAAGTAGTGTTTAAGGTAGTTCCTCTGACTGACCCCAGCGGGATGTCACCACATTTCTTCCATGGGTCCGATCACCATCAGCCAACTGTCTTCCTTGGCGCCATTCACCAGGTACTAAATGGTTATGCTCGTCCTCTTGGTCGACGGCCAGTCTTGCAATGGCAGGTACCGTATGCTGATAAGGTTATGCTGTGTGACACATGCAAGGATAATCAAGTCAACGGTTTCGGGCATCTGGTTCAAGCAGCCAAGTAGGCACTGAAACCGCATAGCGAGAAGACCGAAGGCATTTTCTACCACTCGTCTAGCCCTGGACAACCTAAAATGAAAGGATGGTGATGGTTTATAAGAACAAATTTCTGATTAAATGCATAGCTATTTTGCCAATAGTAATTCAAAAGAATTGTCTAACCTGTAATTGAATATGCGCTCCTCGTTGGTCAAGTTGCGTCTGGAGTATGGCTTCATCATCCAAGTTCTCAACGGGAAAGCGTCATCTCAATGAGGAAGTATGGAGTGTTTCATGTCATCGCCAGGCAGTGGGATCAGGGTCCGGAAAAAAAAAATAAAAACCAAGGGTTGTTTTTCTTTTCTAGCATGGTCTGAAGTTCAGTGTTATTGAATAGCTGGCATCGGATGCACTGCCATTAGCACCCAACGCTTACCCCCGATGAAATTTGTAGTTTGCGTCTACGAGTGCGTAGTATTATGGTAAAGAAGCCTTTATAGTTATAGAACAGAGACCCAGAGTTCTTCGGGTTTCTTTATCCTCACGTGCTTACCATCAAGAGCCCCGCAGACATGAGGAAAATTCCACTTGGTTCGGAAAGTCATCGCAATTTGCTGCCATTTTCAAGCTGTTGTGGACGACCGTCTTGGCGCAGCCTTTCAGAGTACTCCTGTATCTATAGCATCAAACTTCAGGATCGCAATTTACTTATTGTGTTTTTCCCCCCATCGGAATGAGTAATCAAGGGTCTGAATACGAGGCTCCAGTTGCGAGATGACCGAAGAGTGACCGCCCAACTTCTCCAGGCTTCCAGGGCTTCCCTGAAATAGGAGATTGAACAATGTAGTAATAACTTAGCCTCTATGATACCACGGATTAAAGTTTTTAAAATTTTTGACAAATTGACAAACTGTAGAAGTCTGGTTTGGAAAGTGATTTCGTGATATTATTTCAGAAAATACGTTGAAAATGATGGGGGATTCGAACCCATGATTTACCTTGAAGTTGGTGTTTTCTTTTCTGAACTCGTGGGTTGATATTGCGATCAAAACAGCTCGCCACTTATCAGCGTCTACCCTTAGGGAAATTTTTGTATCCTTTTGGTCCTCCCTGTTTTAGGCTCCTGTAGCA